CCACGAGCCAGTCAGGATATTTGTACACCCCAAGTATCTTCAAGGTGCCCCTCACCCGTGCTGTCCTGTCCTCGTGGTTTTTATCGGAGGTCAAAAAATCGCAGACGCCCCTGGTGGGAATGCTGGTGTTCTCTGTAATCCACGTATGGAGGTAGACCTCGCCCAACACCTGCTTCATATGTTCTCGCGTCAGATGCATTTCGACCTCATCCATCTGTGCCTGGATCTCCAGCATCTTCTCTCCCATCGGCTGCTCCTGGGCCCCAACAGTCGAGGGGGCCGGCTGAGAGTCCTGGTCTTTGTGGGCCTCACTCGATGGGCCCTGCCTTTCCTGTTCTGAAGGCTGCTCCTCGCCGCCGCCTGTCTCGGAGGAATCGGCTATGAAGACCTTGGCGTCCTCGTGCGTGGGCCTCCACAGGGCCTCCGAAGGAGGCGTCTGCAGCGACTGCAACAAAATCCGCAGGAGGAAGAGCTTGAAGCGCCAGAAGTACGCGGAGCCCAAACGCTCGATCTTCTCATCCAGGGCTTCCTGCAGAAAGCGCGGGATCTGCTTCTCCTTCATGATCTTCCAACGCACCAGATCGGTCAGGTCGACCTGCCGGTAAAGGTTCTGGATGGACGATTCCAGCAACTGGGTGGCGGCTTCCTCGCACGTCTTTAGGGTGACGAACTGCACCTGGTAGGTTTTGGTGGTGGGGTGGAGCCCGTTGACCATGCCCTTGGTGGTGATGACGGCCAGGTAGGCGCCGCAGGGGCTGACGGCGATGCCGTGGCTGCGGACGGAGCCCAGCACGTCCGACAGCTGGATCAGCTGGTGCTCGAACCGGAGGGCGATGTTGGTGAAGATGGGAATCAGCTGCCTGACCTTCCCGTCCACGGAGCAGGTGTAGACGGTGCCGTTCCGCTTGTCGGCGGTCATGGAGACGATGGGCAAAGAGTGGAGGCCGGTCACGTGGGAGTTGTGGACGTTCAAGCCCGCTTTGGATATCAAGAGGAGGCACCAAAAGAGGTAGCAGCCCCTCGCCGCCACCACTAAGCTGCAGCTACATTTCTGGTAGGGGTGATAGAGAGGGATATTCTTGATATTCTGGACGGGCAAGTGGTCCACTTCCTGCCACAAGACCACCGGCTGTCTCAAGGTGAAGTAGCCTTTGACTGCTTTGAGGTTGACCGGGAGGATCTTCATCGGGCCAAAAGCGCTGCCCACGATCAGCCCGCTCATCTTCCTGTTGTTATGCTCGTATTCCCACCAGGCCAAGACGCTGGGGGAAGAGATGCCCGACTCGATGGTGTTACAAGACGAGATGGACTCCTTGCCGAGGAACGGAAGCTGGCACTGCCACACGGCAATGTTCCCGTTCTCAAAGATGACGGCCAAAAGGACGCTGCTGACGTCCCGGCACTCGTTGTTGTGCTTCACCTGCTGGACGGTGCAAATGCCGGACCACTCCATGCAGACCGGAGTCTGCATGCTGTGCCTCCTCTGGAATTCAGCGAAGTCCCCCATGTCTTCTTGCGAGGGCTCCTGCGTCTTGCAAAGTTTGTAGCTGTTTTCGTACAGGCACTCTCCGTAGAGTTCGGTCAAGTCGACTAACTGCACCCACTGTAGCCTGTTCAGGTTCGCGTGGATAGTCAATCTATTGTCCATGGTCAAGGTGGCTAAGAGGCACCGTCCGTTGGCGTCGCAACCCAGCGGAGACCAGCTGCAGTATCTGAAGCCTTGCATCGAGGACAGCGACTTCCCTTCGGGGTTGAAGACTCTGTCTAAGGTGAATGTCTGGCTGACGATTGGATCGTGGGAATTCGCAAAGTTGTGCTTGCATTCAGCGGCTTCCTTTCTGTTGCCGACCTGTAAGAGAGGGAGGACAGGTTTCACGATGCGTTCACAATGATAAAAGCTTCCCCCCACGCCCACCCAGCATGTGACTTGCTAAGTATTGATTGCAGTACACGGTGAAGCGAGCCACAGCCAAGGAATCTGAAACACTAAAAAGACAACGACATCCAAGTACTAATTTATTTATAACATGTGGCGCACAAGCTTAACCACAGTTGGAATTCAGAAACCATAAGCATCCTAAATCAGTGGTCAACAACTGATGGTTCGTGGACCACTAGTGTTCTGTGAGAAAACTTTGGTGGTCTGCGAGGAAAATTACTCGCGCTTTTTATAGTGCACTACATACTATTTATCTTTTTTAAAAATTCGTATTCGTGATCCGCAGGATTTAATTATGAATTTAGTGGTCCCTGAGGTCCGAAAAGTTGGATACCCTTATTCTAAATCAAACCCAAACCGACAAGAGAATTCCTGGAAGCCTGGCAATCAGATGAATCAGCCATCCATAAACACACCATTCAAAAGTTACAGTTAAAAAGACCAAAAGGAAACAAAAAGACCAAACCACTCCATCACCAGGAGCCAACACTCAGATGGACAGAGATAAACACCAAGATTAACACTAGGCCAGCAATCAAGAAGGAAACAATAACCCAATCAAGGAAAGAAAGGAAGTAGAAAGGGAGGAAGAAGAGAAGGAAAGGAAGGAAGGAGAAGAGGAGGAAGAGAAGTAGAAGAGAAAGGAGAAGAGAAGGAAAGGAAGGAAGGAGAAGAGGAGGAAGAGAAGGAGGAGAGAAGAAAAAGAGAAGAGGAAAGAAAAAGGAAGAAAGGGAGGAAGAGAAGGAAAGAAAGAAGAAAAGGTGGAAGAGAAGGAGAGAAGAAAAAGAGAGGAGGAGAGGAAAGAAAAGAAAAAGGGAAAAAAGGAGAAGAAAAAGAGGAGGAAGAAAAAGGAAAAAGAGAAGGAAAGAAAAAGAAAAGGGAGGAGGAAGAGAAGGAAGGAAGAAAAGGAGGAAGAGAAGTGGAAGAGAAGAGGAGAAGGAAAGGAAGAAAAGGAGGAAGAGAAGGAAAGAAAGAAGAAAAGGTGGAAGAGAAGGAGAAGAAAAAGAGGAGAGGAGGAGAGGAAAGAAAAGAAGAAAAAGGAAAAGGAGAAGAAAAGAAAAAGAGGAGGAGGAGGAAAAAGGAAAGAAAAAAGAGGAGGAAAAGGAAGGAAGAAAAGGAGGAAGAGAAGAGAAGGAAAGGAAGAAAAGGAGGAAGAGAAGGAGAAGAAAAAGAGGAGGAAAGAAAAAGGAAGAAAGGATGAAGAAAAGGAGGAGCAAAAGGAAGAGAAGCCCACCTAGGCCTTCCCTCCACCCAGTGGCGGGGAATTCCCCGGGGGTCCCAACCTTCAGCTGACAGGCGTCGTTGGGGGCCGGCACCGCCGTGCGATGGATGACGAGATCGCCGCCGCCGCCGCCGCCCCGGAAGTCGCTCAACTGCTCCAGGATTGCCACGCTGCGGGCGGTGCTGACCGACAGCCGGTGGTCCTCGGACCAGGCCAGGGGCTCCGAGCCGCTCACGCTGTACTGCAGCCGGACCGCCGGATCGCGCCGCACCGCCGTCAGCCGGAACCCGGCATGACGGCTCCTGCTGGGGCCTGCCCTGCCCTCCGACGCCGCCGCCTCGTCCTCTTTCCCCGGCTCTTCGGCCCCGTCGGACGGTGACGGCGATGGCGATGGGGACGCGGCCGTCCCGTCCCCCGGGCTCTGCTCTTCCGCAGCGGCCGCCGCCATCTTGCCGCCGGCTACCAGCGCGCGTGCGTCACGCGCGACCCCCCTCGAGAAAGGACCCCCACGGGAGAGGCGGGGGGGAAAAAGTCCCGAAGTGTGTCTATCCCACTGCCTGTATGAAAAGCAACTCTCTGCTGTGTTTAACGGAAAACAAGCGTTGTGAGGGGCCTTGGAGGTCTTCCAGTCCAAGCTGGAGACCCTACACCATTCCAGACAGATCATTGTCCGGTCCCATCTTTTAAAAAATTCCTCAGAGATAGAGTGCACCTCTAATTTTCAAACCCCATCAGACTCCTGTTGCAGAAAGCACCCCTGATGTTGCTGGGAGAGAACAAAAGGGAGCACCAGAGGGGGGGAATTGGGGGAAAGTGGGGTGGGGGGAAAGGATGGGACTCCTTCCTTCCCCTTTCCACCTCATTCAAAGTGGGTTGATTTGAGTTTATTTTAGTAAGGCAATCCACTAGCCACCTATACAAGGGGGGGTCCTTTCCCGGGAAATATTCCCACGTGATTGCAGGCATGGACTGACTGCAAGTTTGCAAATCAGAGATTATTAATGTTATTATTATTATTATTATTATTTTTAAAAAATATTTTTCAGTTGCATTCATTCCTGGCTTTGCGTCCATTCCTGGCTTTGCTGCGGCCGCTCTCCCGTTGGAAGCCTCTTGGCAAACTTGGAAATCGAACCTCCCCGTGCAGGAATTGTCTACCCGGAGCTGGATTCGCCTAGCCAGCATGGCTTCAGACGAAGGGTTGCTTATTAATATCAGCACGTCGCCTCTGCCCAGGCCCCACCGCCGCCCCCCTGCAGGACAGAGACCCCCCAACCCACAATGGGGCCGAGGGAAAAAGGTAGGCTCATTGGAACTTGCCCGGGGGGGGGGGCGAAGGAAGAGCCCTCAGAAGTCGTGGGGGCTCCATCACTGGAGGTTTTTAAGAAGAGACTGGACATTCACTTGCCTGGAATGGTATAGGGTCTCCTGCTTGAGCAGGGGGCTGGACTAGAAGACCTCTAAGGTCCCTTCCGGCTCTATTCCGATTCTGAAAACGGCTTATAGAGAAGGGATGCATTGCAACTGGACATCTGGACAGGCCCCTTGTTTGAAACGGTATGAGGTCCCCTGCTTGAGCAGGGGGGGTTGGACTAGAAGACCTCCATGGTCCCTTCCAGTTCTATTCTGATTCTTTAGCGCTCAGCCTTCCTTATTGTTGTGGTGATGAAGAAAAGACACACAGGCAGGAAGAAGGTTGTGAAGGCACCCCCTCAACAGCTTGTGAGAGCTCTCCTTTTATTGTCACAAACAGTCTCCGTGGCAGAAACTGGCAGAAACTAATTGATCAAAGTTCACTTGTGCTGATTGGATTAGCTAGACAAAAATCCAAGCTATGTTTGAGTAAGTTAATAGGCAACCAGATTTGAGATTTGAGATTTGAGAAGTTTATTTATATGCTGCCCTTTTCCCTGGGGGGACTCAGGGCAGCTTACAACTCGAAAAAGGGGGGGGAACAAACATTTAACACGTAGGACAGTACGTCATTAAAAACACAACATTCATACCATTCGGGTGGGTTACAGTCTTTAGCCCCAGGCCTGACGGGATAGCCAGATTTTGAGGGCTGTGCGGAAGGTCTGGAGGGTGGTGAGGGTGCGAATCTCCACGGGGAGATCGTTCCATAGGGTCGGAGCTGCCACAGAGAAGGCTCTCCTCCACGTGGTTGCCAGTCGACATTGACCGGCAGATGGGACTCGGAGGAGGCCTAATCTATGGGATCTAATAGATCGAGTGGAGGTGATTGGCAGTAGGCGGTCTCTCGCAAGATGTTGTTGCGAGCGATGGAATGTGCCTACGTGCCAGATGTTGTCTCATATTTGTTAAGGAAGGATCAGGTTAATGATTATGGTGCTGAGTTGCATTCCTCAGGCTTCACATTTATTAAGGAAGGATCATTGTGTTGATATTTGCATTCTCAACGTGGTTTGCCAGCCATTGAGAAAGGCAAACATCTCCACACCTTATGGTCCAACTTTCACAACCGTACATCGCAACTGGGAAAACCATTGCAATTTTTTTCCCCCAGTGACAGCCCCTCAAGTACTGGAACACAGCTATCCTATCCCACCCACCCACCCCCAATTGTTCTTTTCGATAGGGTAGACATTCATCAGTTGAATTAACCTCCAGATCCATGATTTCCCAGTAATTACTACTTAGTGAACAAACCCATCTTTCTGTGAATGTATTTCCTTCATCTTTTTCTTTTCTGCTCTCAGGCCATGAAAAGAACATTAGAAGGTGCACAAGAAGCCAGTCCCGTAAAAAAGCAGCGTGCTTCTCTGGTGCCCCAGGCCAAAAAGCCATGGAAAAAAACCAAACGTCACAACAAAGGAACTGGGCCACCAAGATCATCTCCGGAAAAGCTTTCGTCTGAAACCAGAGAAGATGACTTCAACAAGAGACCCTTTGTGAAGACTTCCAGCCTCTTTAAAAACAATCCAGAAATCCCTGACATACAGAGGTCCGTAAACTTCTCTTCACTAACTCATAGAAAAAAATGAATTGCAAACTGTATTATTTATCTGCTGCTGTGTTTCCGTAACTGCCGTTTTGGATTTTGCTTCTGAAACTGTATGGTGGTGTCACGATTTGAAGTTCTGGGTTAATCTTTGACTGAGACAATTTTGTTTTTGATTGGTGCCTTGGTTGATTTGCTCCTTTACCTAGAACTGCCGTGAAACAAGTTCAAGAGGAGATTTTCACCTCAGATTCCTTTGATCAACTGGATCTTCATCCTCACTTGGTAAGTTCTTTCCTTTTGGGCAGGTGTGTTGTGGGCCGCCGGCGGCCAGCGGACTCAGACAGCGAGGAGGTTGGGGAGGAACATGGGTCAGCCCTGGGGGCTGAGGAAAGCTCAGGCGAGGGCTCTGCCTAATATAACTGTGGTCATAATACAACTCTCGCACTAACCCTTCAATTTTTTTTCTTGTTATCAGACTTCAACAATAACCTCTTCTTTGAAACTATCAAGCATGACCAGGTAAAAGGATGTATGTTAGTTTGGGGCATATGAATGCAAGAAATATATTCTAACAAACAAATACCTGTATATATACAGATACCAGACTCAGTTAAAGCCATTTTAGGTATATAGGTATTTTAGGGCATATATACATAGTCAACCCTGAAACTGCCCACACCAGAATGAAACAAAGTCAGTCTCTTTCCCTCCTCCCCACCCCGTGTGTGTGTGTGTGCAGGCGCATAACTCTATATACAAACACACACACACACGCACACAATCTTTCTATCTATCTATCTCATCTATCTATCTCATCTATCTATCTATCTATCTATCTATCTATCTATCTATCTATCTATCTATATATATATATATATATATATTTATCTATTTATATCTATCTATATCATCTATCTATATATATATATATCAATCTATCTATATACCTATATACCTATCTATCTATATCTATCTATCTATCTATCTATCTACCTATCTATCTATCTATCTATCTATATATATATATATATATATATATTTATCTATTTATATCTATCTATATCATCTATCTATATATATATATATCAATCTATCTATATACCTATATACCTATCTATCTATATCTATCTATCTATCTATCTATCTACCTATCTATCTATCTATCTATCTATCTATACGTATACATATACATATACATATACATATACATATACATATACATATACATATACATATATATATATCTTATGAAAAGAAGAACTAGGGGTGACATG